GAAGAGAGAGAGAGAGAGAGAGAGAGAGAGAGAGAGAGAGAGAGAGAGAGAGAGAGAGAGAGAGACTCTATTCTTATCTGAAGAGCTTAACTTGAGTTTTCAAAGTAAAGGTCTCCTGAGACGGAAAGCGTCGTAACAAATGCAGTCAGTGGGAAGTGAGGGAGGGCAATCAACCAGCTCTTTCACCTCCATCGCTATGGGCATGCGCTTGTGCTGCCTGAAATACATTACCCTGTTAATTTAAGCATCAGTATATGGGCTCACATGTTTGAACTGGAACATTTGTTCGAATAGTAGGTTGTGAACATGGGGAGGGGTGTAATAGAGGATGAAAACAAGGGGGGGTTACACAGTTTGCCTCAGCCGTGTGCCTCCGTTTCTGAAGGCATGCACGGATATCAGGCTTGCTGACATGGGAGGTGGAAAGAGTTCCCTAAGCAGCCAACAAGAAGAACCTGACATTCAGTTGCGTGTGAACTCCAAATTAATTCCTCTGTATCCTATTGAGAAACAAACCATAGACACATGCTTAGATTATATGGCCCAACCAACAGAAGAAAAGGAAAAGTAGGGCAGGCACAATGTCATTGACACATGCATTTGTGTACAGGCAGGCCGTTCTCTTAAACTGCCAATGCAGAGCGAGTCACAAAAGTCCTGTCGCCTACTCTGAAAGTTTTGCTCCTCGGGCCTACTAGCTGGGCATGTTTTGCTCCTCGGGCATGTACAGCCCAGCCTTGCTGAAAAAGTCCCGTCGCCTACTCTGAGAGTTTTGCTCCTCGGGCCTACTAGACCACAATGGCTGGGAGAGCGAGTCACGAAATTTTAAGTAATGCGGCGCTGGTGGTCTGGCAAAGCTTGGTTTGCAGTGGAGCGTCTTCAGCCCGGCTGTGCGAGTGGTTTAAACCACCAGTACTTCCTAAAGTCGTGCCCGTTAATGCTACGTGATTTTAGGAAACGTACGGGCCACTACGGCAGCTCCCAAATTCATCCAACGAGAAACGTTTCTACTCTATTTTTTTCCGTGGCCAATAGCTGGGCGAAGTACTGGTGGTTAAGGGAACCGAACAGCCTTGCCACAGCTGGGCATGTGCAAGACCGAGCAGACTATTGACAGTCGTAGGTTTCCGTACAATTTCACTATGAAAAAACACAAACAGGAGCCGAAGGATTGTTTGAAGAATAACACATACGCATGTCAGGGATGGAAGTGTTCGTATTTGTTCTCAGGCCTGAGCCCTTGACCACGGATATGCCTCTTGTTTCGTGAGGCAATTAGTTGTGTCAGACATATGGGCGTGGGGGTTGGAATGGTCTGCCAAGTAATAACGAGAAAAGCCCAAATCTTGAGGGAACTAAAGTTGCATGCAATCCTAGTCCAATCGGAACACATTCGGAAACATGTTTTGGATCCATGCCTTGTATATAGAGAGAAAAGCAAGGACCATTCGAAACGTATACGTTTACAGGGTCGTGCGCGATGTTAAGCGCATCGGATCCTGACTTTCGGTAGAAACCCTTCCCATCATTACACACTTGAGTTGTAGAAAGAGGGATGACACAAAGACAATGTAGAAGTCTCGTGACCGCCGAGGCGGAGGTGTTTTTTTTCGACATTGTTCTTACGGGATGTGCCAACTGTAGGTGTTTTTTTGTTCGTCATCGCTTCTACCGGATGCGCCAACCGTATTTCTCGCGGACTTTTGAGATAGGATAGCTTTTTGCAAAGGGGTTGTCACCAGCCTCAAGGGTGTATCCCTATCGAGCTATTGAGCCGCTTATGAAAGTTTTTATACAATTGCAGAGGTAGATCAGTCGAGGGAGTTTGCTCGCCAGTTGCGTTAGTCCCTTATAACGCTGGTCTCAAAAGTTAAAACTGTTGTCGGTCGAGTACGACTGTTTCAACCAAGTGTGAAACCACAACCATTCCTAATCCCTCAGACTCAGAACTCTGAAAGTCATTACAATAGGCAAGCATAACTACGTTTAAACCAGATCGACCATGGTCGTCAGGAAGATATATGTAGTACAAAATAAATTGTTTGGCTAACCAAATTGTTGTATCCAATTCTATGCGAGGAGACAGGATAACTATAAGTATTCAAGCATCATGGTGTAGAACCAATAACACAAGATCAAAATAAATATTAACCATCTCGGGTCGAGTTCAATAAATCGAGTACTATAAATTGAGTCGATGAGAAGTTGGACTTGGACGACAATTTTAATTTCGCTGACAAGGTAGTTGGGTTTGATGAGATGATTTGCTGAAGTTATTCGTCACATTCCTACATTGATCGAGGGCCTTTTAGTTTAGGTTTCTGCATCATGGGCGAAGGTGGGTGCAGGTAGCT